TTATAATTTTAATTTCTACAATTTTATCTTATTTTTTATTTTATAAATCTAATTTAAATTATTTATTTTATAATTAAATTAATTTTTTTTAAAATCTTTTTATAAGGAACTCTCTTAGCTAATGTGTACTCCCCTACTGGCATGTTGGGCTTATATAAATAAAATTATATAGAAATTAATAAATAAAAATGTTGGGGTAGCTTATATGATGGAGAAGAGATGTAATCCTATGTTTTAAAGTTAATGGAGAGAGATAGGAAAATTAGAGAGAGAAAATATAAAGAGCAAAGTATGGCGTGGAGCGTCCCTTTCAAGTAGAATCAGATCTGTAGCGTATAAGTAGGGAACGGTGGGCGGTTGAAATAAAAAAGAAAAAGAAAAAGAAAAATGGTGAGCGGTAGCAAATGGGTGGGATTGGTGGCGGCGGTGTGGATTCAAGCAATCTCGGGGAACAATTACACATTCTCGAATTACTCGGACGCCCTGAAATCCCTGATGCAGCTAACACAAATCGAACTGAACAATCTGTCGGTGGCCAAAGACGTGGGGAAGGCCTTTGGGCTTGTGGCTGGGCTGGCCTCTGACAAATTTCCAACATGGGCCATTCTCCTGATCGGCTCCATGGAAGGCCTCATCGGGTACGGGGTCCAGTGGCTGGTGGTGAGCCACAGAATCCAACCCCTCCCCTACTGGCAGGTACTAGTACTACTACTGATGCTGCTACTTACTAATTACCTACTATTAATTAACAACAACATTTCCTTTTACTTTACTTCCCCAAATGCAGATGTGTCTATTTCTCTGCATGGGGGGCAACAGCACAACTTGGATGAACACGGCGGTTCTAGTCACCTGCATCCGCAACTTCCGCCGCAACCGAGGCCCCGTTTCCGGCATTCTCAAAGGCTATGTCGGCTTGAGCACCGCCATATTCACCGACCTCTGTTCTGCTCTCTTCGCCGACGACCCTGCCTCCTTTCTACTCATGCTCGCTCTCCTTCCATTCGCCGTTTGCCTCTCCGGAATCTTTTTCCTCCGCGAGATTCCTCCCGCCGCCGCTCACCAGGACGACCAAGACTCATCCTACTTCGGGGTTTTCAACGCAGTCGCCGTGGTCGTCGCCCTTTACCTCTTGGCTTTCGGGTTCCTGCCCAACCCCAGCGCTCTGGCGTCTGGGGCGTTCGCCGTGGTTTTGGTTGTTCTGTTGGCGGCGCCGTTGGGAATTCCGGTCCACTCTTACTTGAAATCGCGAGGGTTGAAAGCGGGTGTGGATGTGGAGGAAGCGTTGCTTGGCGAAAACGTGAAGGGGGAGAGATTGAACGTGTCAGCGGTGGTGGTGGGGGAGGAGCACACGATATGGGAGGCTCTGAAAACCGTGGATTTTTGGATATTGTTTGTGTCGTTTCTTTGTGGGGTGGGAACGGGTTTGGCGGTTATGAACAATATGGGCCAGATTGGGTTGGCGTTGGGTTATTCGGATGTCTCCCTCTTTGTGTCCTTGACCAGTATTTGGGGCTTTTTCGGTCGGATCATCTCGGGTTCGGTTTCGGAGCACTTCATCAAGTAAGATTCTCTAATAACCCCTTCCTTCACCTTCTCACGTGTGAAAGGAATAACAAATTTATTTAAATATCTTGGAACCTAGATTGATGATCCTGATCAATTCAAGTCTCTAGAAAACTACCTTTATTCTACCTCCTTTAGGGCCACTTGAGATTTGAGAAGTCATGCTTTGCATCTCTCATCTAATGTCATGGATGTGGACTTGACTTTCTTTCTCTATTAGTCTAATTGTGATCTCGCTCCCAGGGCTAGGAGAAATTTCTTGGAATTTGCCTTCATTTTTTTTTTTTTTGTGGATATTTTTCTTCCATTCCCATTTTTGAGAAATTCTATAACATCCTTAAAAATTTAAAGGATCTTGAAATTGTTTTGATTTTTTTTGAAAAAATATGTAAACATTTGATATTTTAGAATGATTTGATTACATTTATTATTTTCTTAAAATTCTTAAGGATATTTTTTATTAAGGATTAAAATTTAAAATTATTTTAATTTTTACAAAATGATTTAAAATATTCAGAATAGTATTTAGTGAGAAAAAAGAGTAAGTTAATTATTTAAATTATTTGTTTTTCAATAACACAGTACTTGGTTTAGAGAAGAAAAAAAAGTGAAAGTGAAAAAATATATTTTAAGTCATTTTTATTGATTTTAAAAATTGATTATATCACAACATTTTAATTTAAAACGGTACCATAATAATTTTTTATTATTATTGGGATGTTACTTTTGGTGAAGGTAGATTGAGGTGTATTTGCATAGTTGGTTCTTATTGCCAATATAATTGATATCAGATTTTGATTAAAAATTGTACGTGACATGAAAATATCAATCATAATTTATAAACAAGAACTCATTTCATTCATTATTAGATCGAAAATTCTAATTGGTAAGAAGATGTTTCTTTCATTCATTATTATCAAATTTAACTGTATAGATGTATAAGTTTTAAAAAAATAGACACATATTGGTCCTTGCAATTCTTGCAAGGAGGACTTGGTAGCAAATAGCATGTTATTAGATAAACTCAAATACAAGTGCAAGGGAATAGAATAGGTGTAGTTGCTCAATGATTTATGAAAATACCGTACATTAGAATTAAATGTTCCTTTGACCAAGCTTGATTTATGAAATAAAATTTGTGTGCGACATGGTTGGTTCTAAATTTTGACTAGCATGTTGTGTTTTCCAATTTGGCTTGGTTTCAGGAAAGCTGCAACTCCTAGACCTCTTTGGAATGCAGCCTCTCAAATACTGATGGCGGTGGGATACATACTTCTGGCCATGGCTATGCCAGGTTCCCTTTACATAGGGTCCATTATAGTTGGCATATGCTACGGAGTGCGGCTCGCCATCACTGTGCCAACAGCCTCAGAGTTATTTGGCCTCAAATACTATGGTCTCATTTACAACATTCTCATCCTTAACCTTCCCCTTGGTTCTTTCCTTTTTTCTGGTCTGCTTGCTGGCATTCTCTATGATATGGAGGCAACTACCACCGCTGGAGGAGGCAACACTTGTGTTGGAGCTCATTGTTACAGACTAACCTTCATAATCATGACTGCAGCTTGCATTCTTGGCTTCTTCTTAGACATTCTATTGTCAATCAGAACTAAGAAGGTTTACACTAAGATATCTTTGGGCAAAAACTCCAAGAAAAAGTCTGTGACCTCAAGTAGTCGATGATTCAAAAGGGCCACTGTAAGAACCTATTTCACTGGTGATTAACCTTTTTCTCTTTTTAGTAATAAAGGCGGGTTAGTTTATTTGTACATCCATTTTGAGTGCTCTAAAGCATAATCAGCCTACGGTCTCTGTTGTAGCAATAGTTGTAAAAGGGCATGTTTTCAGTTTTCAAGCATGCACGATTCTAATTGCAACAATTTGGAAATGTTTTGCAATTTTGTTCCGTGTTAATCTGATCTTCTGCTATTTAGGTGTCAAAAGTGTTGCACAGACTTTACACATTTCATGCCTGCTTTTTACTTATTTTTCTCAAGGAAAGGTAAATTGATGTGAGAATATCTACTTGGAAGCAATGAATTTCCTATGGTCTTTACTAAATTACATCATTTCAGAAAAGAAATCTAAAGCCGAATTTAGGCAAAGAAATAAAAAAAAAAAACTTCTGGTGCTTTGTTTAAGTGGAGACAATTCAGACAAATTCCAAAAGAAGCTAAAAAACAAATCAATTATGCGGTTTGAAGCCAAGTAGTAGTATCAGAAAAGCAGGGTGTCATTATCTTGCCAAACGAGTGGCTAAAAGAGTAAATTGCCATTTGCTCCATGATATTATAGCATGCCGTCCCTAAAATTATAAATTTCTGTAAAAAAAAATCGATATTTTTAGTTGTTTCATTTAAGTTTCTAATTTAACTATTTATTAATATTTTAATTCTTAAATTTTGTTAATATTATCATTTAATTTAAGTTTTTTTTTTAAATTTTTAAGTCACGTGATCAATAGATTGCATTTTTAGAAAGTTATTTTAAAAATAATAATTTAAGAAACTAATGTTATAACGTTATATATTTTGAGAGAGTAAGAGTAAAATGATGGTATACTTGAATAAAAATCTGGGGAAACTCTGATCGTTCGTGATGGGTTGAGAAATAATTAATACATTCATTGTTTTGGTCTTAGTCAACAAATAATATTTTTTATCAGAAAAAATACAATTCTTTTTAAACGTCTCCAGAACAATTAGTATTTTCATTTCATAATCTTGGATTTTGCGTTCAGAAGCATGTATCATCCATCCATATACGCATACAATTCCTCGAACAAGAAATAAAAAAATCACGACTTTCACCATGTCAATATCAAAAGAATTTTCTGGGCTTTATGTAACATCAAGCTATTGCCCCACCCATGCCTTCCTCTCATGCTGAGATGTGACATAATAAATTTTACGATAAACCCCGCCACACCTTCTGTTAAATGGTTGATTATTTAAAATTAAAATTGTAGCAACCTCGGTCGCGATGGGACGGCAAAAAATAAAATGAAAAAGAGGGAGTCGCCACCAATGTTATTTTTTATGGAAAAACATTAGAAAAATCATAAAATAGAAAATAGTCTACAAAAATCAAATTTTTGAGTTCGGGAATCGATTACGTCTAAAGGGAGTCACCTAGGTTTGTGGTCATCAATGAGAGGTTATATCGAAGGGGTTTCAGCAATCCCCTTTTGAGATGTTTGACCACATCACAAGCGCAAAGAGTGATGGATGAAGTGCATGGCGGCATGTGTGGAAGTCATATCGGAGGATGTGCACTAGTATACAAAGTTGCAAGGGCAGGGTATTTTTGGCCGACTTTGAGAAACGACTGCGTCAATTGGGTTCAAAAGTGTGATGAATGTCAAAGACACGCAACGTTGCGCCACTCTCCAGCTGAACGACTCCATTCAATCTTGTCTCCTTGGCCATTCAACAAGTGGGGTATTGATATTCTCAGCCCATTTCCGATCGCGGTAAGACAGTTGAAGTTCTTGATAGTGGCTGTAGACTACTTCAGCAAGTGGATTGAGGCGGAGCCCGTAGCAACCATTTCGGCGGAGAAGGTAAGAACATTTTTATGGAAGAATGTGGTATGCAGATATGGTGTCCCCCAAGTACTCGTATCGAATAATGGGACGCAATTCGCGAGTGGGCGAGTTCGTGATTTTTGTCAAGAGATCAGAATTTAAATGACATTCACTTCCGTCGAACACCCCCAGTCTAACGGCCAAGCGGAGTCGGCCAACAAGGTTATACTCTCGGGACTGAAAAAGCGCGTCCAAGACTCAGGCGTTTCATGGGTGGAGGAGCTTCCCCGAGTTTTATGGTCATATCACATGACTGTTCATTCATCGACCCAGGACACCCCTTTCAATCTAGTACAGCCGAGACGTTCAGCACCCAAAGCCTTAACCCGTCGGCTCGGTGATGTGCCGAAGGACAAAGCAAGGATTATAATGTCGATCACGGTTAACAAAGATAAGTACATGATTAAGACATAATTAGTCGATTAGCGCCGTATTACCTAATTTGGTAAGCTTTAGAAAAGGCCCACTGCTGACAAGGCCCATCAGTAGTAGTATAAATAGGTCATTTATATCGAGGTACGTCACTGTTCATTAATTACCCTAGAATATCGTGCTTGTTCTAACTTGAGCGTCGGAGTACCTTTTGCGGGTACCTCCCCCCTCTGAAGAATCCGCCTGAAGCATCCGTTCGGCCCTTCACCACTAAGAAGACTACGAGTGTACCCTCAGACAGGTACATTTTGGCGCCCACCGTGGGGTCGAACCGATAGCTGTGAAGAGACTTTGAAGACATTATGGCAAAGACAAGAAGAACTAACCTTGAAAACCACCAGTCCGAAGATGAGCACCCGTACGGGGTAGACAATGCCGAGATGGTAGAGGAGACAAACTTGACCGAGATGGTGCGCCAAATGAAGGATGACATGGCCGCCATGAAACAGCAACGGGAGAGAGATGCTACCGAGATGGCTGCATTGCGAGAGGAGAATGCTGCCCTCAAAAATCAGTACCGGGATCCCACATGGAAACCCTCTGAGATGACCCACACTCAGGGGTCGTTCCATTCGCACGACCATCACACCTCTATCCCTCACACTTCTGTCGCTGCCCCAGGTGTACATGCTTCGGTCGGTCGGCCGATGCAACCAATACCGGCCGGAGCACACCGACACCCCTTCACACCAAACATCATGCAGTCTGCACTTCTTTACCATTGGAAGTCCTTGCCACTCGACAAGTACGATGGTACCACCGACCCAGACGAGCACGTGGATGTGTTTTTAACGCAGGTTACTCTGAGCACCACTGACGACGCTGCCTTGTGCCGAATCTTCCCAACATCATTAAAAGGGCGAGCGCTGAGCTGGTTTACTCGGCTTCCTGCTAATTCGATTGATTCATTCAGCACGTTAGCTTCCCAATTCACCATTCAATTCGCTACAAGCCGACCGCACCAGTTGACCTCTTTGGCGCTAGTTAGCATCCGTCAGGAGAAGAAGGAATCCCTTTGGGCATTCATGAGCCGATTCAACAAAGCGGCATTGGAAATCCGAGACCTTAACCCGGCCGTCGCCGTGCATCACCTGACCACTGCCTTAAAGCCAGGTCCCTTTGCCAACAGCATCTGCAAGAAGCCACCAACCGACATGGATGACCTCCGGCGACGAGCCGATAAATACATGCAGATGGAGGAATTAACTGAGTTCTGCAACCAAGCTAGGACAGAAGTAGCGGCCAAGCCTGAAAAGCCAGCTAAAAACAATTTTCGAAGCCGTCCGAAAGAACTGGTACCCTGCGAGAGACCCCCTCGTGGCCCGAAGTATTCCCAATATACACCACTCAACACCAGCCGGTCAGCAATACTAGAACAAGCACTTGCTTCGGAAGTACTGGCCGTTCCAAAACGAGCGTCGGCCCCTCCCCGGGCTGATACAACCAAATCTTGCAGGTATCACCGCAATCGCGAACATTCAACTGACGAATGTTCGACCCTGAAGGATAAAATTGAAGATTTAATCAAGCAGGGATAGTTGCAAGGCTTCGTGGACCGTCCGAACCATTCGAGATACGCTGACCGGTCGCGACGGCACGATCAACCCGAACAAAGGAGGACAGAAGCACGTTCGTACAGAGAGCGCAGTCGGTCAAGAGATCGAAGAGAGGAAGAGCCTTCGGCACAACCTCGGCGAGTCATCAACACGATAGCAGGAGGATTCGCTGGCGGAGGCTCATCCTCATCAGCCCAACGTAGACACTTGCGAGCCGTTCGGCACGTCCATTCAGTAGAGACAGTTCGTTGTCGCCTACCCACCATCACTTTCACCGAGGACGACTTCAAAGGCATCGACCCGGACCAGGATGATCCGATGGTAATCAGCGTCGAAATTCACAACTGTATTGTACGTAAGACGTTGGTTGATCAGGGAAGTTCAGCCGACATTCTCTATTGGAACACGTTCAAACAATTGGGTATTCCGGAGTCCGAGCTAGTCCCTTATGATGAACCTTTGGTCGGGTTCTCCGGTGAACGAGTCAAGACAAAAGGGTATATCAAGCTGTCAACCCGGTTCGGGTTTGATGGAGCTGAGTACCGAGACATTTTGATTAAGTATGTGGTGGTGCACGCCAACACATCTTATAACATTCTGCTCGGCCGACCATCCCTGAATCGGCTCGGAGCAATTGTGTCCACCCCTCATCTGGCCATGAAGTTTTGGGCCGAATCAGGGCGAATAGTCACTGTCCATGCTGACCAAAAAACCGCGTGAGAATGTTATTTTACCAGCTTGTGATTGCCGAAAATGAAGAACGAAGCACCAAATGAACCGAGAGGGGTGCACTCGGTATCACAACAATTGACCATGGACCTCGATCCCCGGATTGATCAAGATGAGAGGGTCGAGCCCATCGAAGATAAACAACCGTTTCAAGTGGGAGTGTCCGAATTCTAAGTCACTCACCTAGGAACTAATTTGTCCGAAGAAGAACGGCTGGCTATTAAGCAAGTGGTCCTTGAAAACAATGACTTATTCGCTTGGCACCCGTCCGACATGCCCGGAATTGACCCCAATTTCCTTTGCCACAAGCTCTCCATTAGCAAGGAGGCTAGGCCGATTGCTCAACGGCGCCGGAAGACCGGGGAAGAAAGAAAAGCTGCAATCGAAGTTGAAGTGAGCAAGTTGTTGGATGCTCGGTTCATCCGAGAGGTACACTACACGACCTGGCTGGCCAATGTCGTCATGGTCAGAAAACCGAATGGAAAGTGGCGCATGTGCACCGATTACACTAACTTAAATAAAGCCTGTCCGAAGGACGCCTACCCGCTACCAAACATCGATCGGCTCGTCGATGGGGCGTCCGACCACAAATTCTTGTCTTTCCTCGACGCCTACTTTGGATACAACCAGATTCGGATGCACCCTCAAGATGAAGAAAA